AGCAAACGAGCCAAGCAGCATTTCTCCTGGCCTCCTTCTCCTGGTGTTCCCTGTCCCTAAGTGCTACCATCATGGTCCCGCGATCCCCCGTTCGTTCTATGGCAGCTGAGCTGCAATAGCGATATCGGTCGGAAGCAAAGACGCGAGAGAGGAGACACTAAAGGGAACGATATAGCGCGGTAGAAACTTTACTTGTGCCGGTAAGGTTTTTTTTCAGCTCGTCATCCATTTTGGTCTAATAGAGCGGATGCAGAACTCATACCCTCGGCGTCGTCTCCTTCAAAAGAAGAGGACCGTCGGAGCTAGTGGATGGGAAGCTTGCCATGCGATGGAAGTCGGCCATTCAGTGAGAATTAAGAGAAAATAGAGAAGTGATATCTTCTTATATTTTCGGTCCCTCTCGCTTCTGCTTCGGCAGTACTCCCGAAGCCTTTCGTTCTCCGCTCCGCGATCATCGTTGGCCCCGCCGTCTCGCTTGCGCCACTGCACTTCTACCTTCGGCGCCTCTTATTTTTTTATTTCTTTGTTCGGGATGTGCTTCTTAGCTTCTGCTTGCCTGGTTCGGCTGGATGAGAAGTTCGCCCACTAGTCTCTCCCAGCGGCGCCCATTCAAAAGGTGCTCGCTGGAGCGTGTCATCGAGGAGGATTCCGTCGCGTCGCTAGAACTAAATTCATTGATTGATGAACTGACGAATTGACCGACCCGCTGATGGATCTATCGCTCGACCCGCTGCGCGAGGCCACGTCTCCGTGCGGGCTCAACGAACGTCGTTGGAGGAAGGCATGGTCATCCGATGTCCCTGGCCTCGAAGATGTTTGAAGGAAACAGTGGCATCGGCAGCGATAGTTTCGGTATTCTCGCGGGTTTCTCCATCCGTGAGAATCTCATCCCCGACGGTCTTGTCGGAGAACGAACGGTGTCGACGGCGTTTCTCAGAGTCGTCCGTCTCCTCCGTCTCGCTTCTGTATCCGCAACAGAAGCATCGAGGTCATGCTCGATCGTCTTCCTGGCTGTCGCCCTCGGCTTGCCTGACGTCAAGCGCAACGTTCAGCTGTGCGGATGATCTGGTTTGTATGCCGATGCGCGTGCCCTCACCGACAGCACGGGAGGGCGGCGGCGGCCATGAAATCGAGGGAACTCGTGTGAGTATGTGTACTCTCTCTGAGCGTTCGTCCGACCCTTCGTTCATCGTTTCTGCTGCTGCCGCGGCTTAATTATCGACGCGGACGGAAGACCAATGGATGGATGATAAGAACGAGGCGTGCCTGAGCATGTTCAGACGAGATACCGAGTGGACTCTCATACAGAAGAGCACCTCCCGCTTGCGAGCAATTCGCTTTCAACGGCGGCAAATGTAGTCGAGTTCCTTGGTTCGTTACCGATAGACAAACCGGTCAGTCTGACTTGATTCTGTTGGGGAGCAGCTGACATCCTACACGCTCCTCGGGAAACTCGCTTGCCGCTGTCAGCAGGGCGAAGCAGCAGGAATTATCGGCTTCTGTGGTCAAGAAGTGAAACAACGGGAGGAGGACGGGAAAGACACTGACGGAGCGTCTGCACTCGCGTCAGCAGCGGGTGCATAGACGGCAGACACAGCGTGAACTGGAAACTAAACTTGCGATAATTTATCGCAAGATTGTTCCGCTAAAAAGAGTCATCGATTCCAATGGCCGCTCCGGCGATGGTCGCGAGCTGGCAGCCTCGCAGAGAGATTTGTCCGCATACTTCCGGAAGCATTCTCGTCCCAAACTCGTCCGGACAGGGGAGTTATCGCTGGCGACTACGCGAGAGTTCGGATTGCCAACGGAGAAATATGAGTAGGTATGTACTTGCTCTTCTCGGCTATAATAGGAAATATAATGGAGGTATAATTTTAGGAAATATAATAAACACCAGCTTCGATTCTTACCAGACGCTCGTCCTGGGGGACAACTATCCAATCACGATTCGATTGGGAGGGGATGTGGTTTCTGCTCGAGGAAATGTATAAAAAATGTCTGCCCCCTTCTCACGATGGGTCCGGATTCCGGAGTTTCTGACGAACATTCCAAGCCTTGGGACGCCGAATAGCGAAGCGAAGCTCACGGAAGCAGAGGGGAAGTGCCTCCGACGACCTTGGTAGATCTCCTCAACGCCTCCGGTTGCAAAGAACCTAATTTCTCAAGTGTCTCTGACTCATACCAACGCATGAAATCCCCTCTGCTCCGGAGTTACTCAGACACTCCCCCTTATGCTGCCCACGCTGCTACGCGTTCCAAGCACAAGTTCTCCCGTGATCAATCCACCAGAAGATCTCGATTGCGACAGAGGAGGAGATTATTTGAATGATCACGAGGGGGAAATGAGAAAATCAAGAAGCGCAGCAAAGTTCACACGAGCGAGCTCGAGTCGCTTGTGGCGGGCGTCTCAATGATGAGAGCTGTTGTCGCCTGTTAAATCCGTCAATTCATTCCCAAGCACGATTAGTCTTCCTCAATACCATCCGTTCAAGGCTTCGCGAATTTCTCCTCACCATGTGTCGTATTCACAGGGTCGTGACGATCCATTGTCTGTCTTTTTCCGAGCGTTGCCATCGACTGCAGTATGAACCTCTGTACGTTCTTGACGACGACTTCCCTGTTCTTCTCCTCGCACGCCGGAAGGTCCAAGTAGGAGCTGCGGAAGCTCGCCGCGAAACGCTGACGTATCCGCCATATTTCGGACTCGGAAGGTTTGTCCAAATGAATCTCAGTCATTCGCATCGGGAGACTCGCCAAACAAAGATTCCCGGGCGGACTTATCACAAGAAACGAATTCGTTGAAGGGAATCTCGACATGAGGTCCTCGACGAAGCCGATAGTCCCGCTATTAGGCTCATCTAGTACGATGATGGTTTTTGACAACTCAGAAAGTAGATTCGCTAGTTCCGAAGAATTGGCCGATTGGCGGCAATCGACGTAAACTGTCGGACGGAAGAGCTTCATCGTGATGTACCGGGCCATCAAGGTTTTCCCTTGACCATTGTCCCCGATGAGCAAAGTATAAGTTTCAGATCTCAAAACGGATTCCAGAGCGTTCCCGCTTTTATCGGCGTCGAATGGTGTGAAGGAATGTCGTGTACTGTGCAGGCCCCTAATTAACTCCCACGACATCGAATACGTGAAGAGGCTGTTCCAACGGTCCGGCTCACCTAGCTTCTGTCGCGCACGTATTTTCCGTAGCTTTCGATGGGTGAGCGCCAGAGCTCGGTTCAGTATCTGGAGAGCCGCCACATTGCTCGAAAGAGCTTCGCCAGAGTCCAGAGAGTTGGATGGCGCAAGCTCGACCCACAGGGAATTCGCTTGTCCTATCAAGCGCAGCACAACCTCTTCGAAAGTGCTCATCGTATAGTTGGAAGCGTTGTCTTCCGATGAAAACGATTTTCTCAATCGTGACGGATTGCTCCTATCAGTCAACGATATCTTTTGGCTATCGATCTCACGGCTGAATACGGTGGACATGTCCGATATGATAGCGGACCAGAGGCGGGTGGACGGGCGATCCTTGATCCAGTCCCCGTCCTCCGCAGCCTCAGCAGAGAGAACAGACCAACTAAAGTCCATCAAGTCAGGTTCCTGAAAGGATCGCACGTCGCACGGGACCGAAGCCATCGATTTGGAATAGAGTGAGCTTCCGTCATGAGTTGCTTGTGACGATTCGACTGTTTATTTCTTCAGTGTTTCTCGGCCGGTGTTCTTACATGACTCCAATTAGGATTAGGTCGCATCGTCGCTTCGATGGATACGATTTCAGAGATACATGGACCGAGGAATCGCGTCACGTAGTCAGTTCGAGTGATCCCGAAGATTTCGACTTCGCGGATCATCTAAAGCTCTTGGAACACAGCAGTTATCCACCGATCTCGACATTTCTAAATGCTATCGATCGAACGTCTTGGAAAGAGTACAAAATGCATTCGATTCTACCACCGATATGTGTGTGCTCGGTCGATACCAATCTGCTGAGACTAGGGCGAAGTCTGCGAGCAGTTCAACTGAGGGAGGGAGGTCTCCGAGTGGAATGAACGGCGCCTCCGGGATAAGATACGTAGATTGGGCGGGATTGGAAGGGAAAGCCCCTCGCTCACCGAGCCGCGATGCTGCCTTGCGCGTCCGAACTCTCTTTGGCCATGAATTCGGCCGAATAATGCAGATAATACGTAGCGTACCCTTTGGTTGACTGTTCATTCGATCGATCCTACCTCTTATAAGGACTGAGCCTCCCTACCCGTCCGAAGTTCGCGCGTGCCCGAGAGGGAAGTTCATTATCGGTTGCGGGAGGCGGGCTGCGAGAAAAGAGAATGAGACTACTTGGGACGAAGTTTTCTCGTGGTGCCCCCCGAATACGAATCGGGGATAAATCTTCAACCGCTGCATCTGGAGGAACTTTTGATTCGATACCTAGATTATACATTCCCAACGAGCTGCATCCGCGGCTACGATTTCGATTCCCCCCTCATCTCGGCGCTTGTTCCTCTCCAACTGCTTGATAGCGTCTTATTCAGTCGATGTTGAGGAGACCGGAATATCTAGCTTATTGTTAGTATTGCAGGCGTTGGAATAGCATTTCTGATCCTCCCGATCACGATCTCGACCTGAGCCACACCCAGGCGTCCGCGAAGCTGCTCCAGTTCGCATTATGTTGATTCATAATTCCATGTCAAATCGCACCACGCGTTGCCCTCACGCAACTAGAGACATCAGAGCGGGATCGGGGAAGCTAAACAACGGATGAAGTTCACAGCTTCCACGAGATTTTCTATCGAATCCCGTGGAACTTGTGAAGTGGTTCCATGGATACAAACAATCGGGGGATATCGATCGCCTACCCCCATGAACTCCCTGCGGAGACATGCCCTCCAGAGGGAAGTTTTCTACGGAATATGTGTGAGACACAGTTCCATATAGTACGTGTGTATATGAAAAATGTTCTGTGTATATAGTAAACCATTACCACTCGCTCTCCGGCGAACAACCTCTGGATCGCAGGCGTAGTCCGGATCTCCGAATCCAATGTCCTATAAAGATCACTCTAATACATTCACTCAAATAGTCAATCGTCAGACGATCCATCACACGAATTCCTAAACCATAAGCCATCTGCAATAGGTTCCTCCTCACAATGCCACGGATCGATTTCACATTCATGCGACGTGGAAAATTACGGCCTAAATGTTTGGTGTAAAAATCGTTAATGCACACGGCGCGATGCGATGTCTACACTCCCGGCCGGGTGCAGCGTCTCCCGAAAGTCTCGTCGGTCGAGTCGCACAATCTAGCTTTCCCATCGTTCTACAGGCGTTACAGTCAATGACGGCGGAGCCTTCAGCTATTCAGACTCTTTAAGCCACTTCAGGATCTCAGGGGTGAAGTAGGTGATGATGACGTCGGTTCCCGCTCTTCGGAAGCTCGTCATACTTTCAAGCACAGAACTCCGGAGATCGAGCGCACCGTTCCGCGCAGCGTGGTACAGCATAGCGAACTCGCCGGAAACTTGATAAGCAAACATCGGGTAGTTGGGGAACTTGTCCTTCAGCTGACGAATGAGGTCCAGATAAGGCATTCCTGGTTTCACCATTATCATATCGGCACCTGTAAGATCGAGGCTCCGTTCAAGTTCGTGAAAAATTCTGTCGCGGGCGGGAATTGGGGGAACATTCCTATTTCATGGAGAAGATTGGATAGTGGAGTCCAGCTACGTATAACTTTCTGAGGATCATCCAAAGCGATTGCGAGCAACGCCCTAGACGGCTTTCCTGCACATTCCGAGGAATTCACGTACCCTGTTCAATATCTCTTTGCACGGCTCGCATCGCGAGCCCGTTGGCACCAGGTGGTAGCTGATAGCATTTGCGGTCTCCCATACAGGGTGCGCTTTTCGCCGCGTCTCGGAAAGGTCCGTAGAAGCAGGAGGCGAATTTGGCGGAATACGAGAGAACAGAAACCGTATTCCCGAGGTGGGCCTTAAATAAGGCATCTTTTATTGCCAGGATCCGGCCGTCCTATTCGACCCGAGAAAGGAAGATAAACAGAAGTTAGAACGCGTTCTTTTTTCTCTCAGGAGCTTGAGATTAGATTATGCTCATTCGGAATTGTCGGATTCCTCCGATATCCGCCTGCGTCTACGACTGGGAGTAGCGCTGCACGAGGTCGATATATTTAGCAAGCGATATCGGTAGGCTATAATGAGAGATTTCTACTTTACCATCATGTCGCTCGGGGCCACCACGTGGGCCCCCGCTCTGGCGAAGCTCAGAGCCATTTGCGCAAGTCTCTGGTCACTTTTTTCCATATCGATGATTCCTTGCTGGTTGAGAATTCCGCAATGACCGTGCGACGTATAGGCACACAGACAAACATCGCATGTCACAACCAGGTCGGGAAATGATGATCTGATTACACGAATGGCCCCGTGTACGGGATTGCGATCAGGGTCCGAGCTAACCGAAGCTTCGAGATCTTTTCCTTCCGAAATAACTCCAAACAGGAGAACAGACTTCAAGCCCAATTCATAGACCGGCCTGATGGCGTCAGCGATCCTGAAATAGAAGCGGCTTTGGAGAAAAACCTCATGCATCCACAGTTTCGAAAGCTGCGCTCCCTGCCGGATGGTGTTGAGAGTGGTCCCGAATCTATCACTCAGATAGCTGAGATAAATAAACCCTGGGGAATTCTTCGTTTCAAAGTTCCCTGTGATAGCCTGCGACAAAGCAAACATTTCCTCTGTCTCCATCCTTCTATGCCACCCGTCACGATGGTCGACGCCCGATAGGCAAATATCTCGGTTTAATAATACACCTCTTATCGGAGTTTCAAGCCTGTCATCGACGTGAAGGAGCGCTTTCTCTTTCGGTTCCCGCCGCTGTGGTCGCTCGTTGCCCCATCGGGAGACGAGACTTTTCCGCAGTTTATATCGACAAGTCAATCAGACCTAACGTATCTGATCGGGGTAAGGGCTCATCCGGATCGGATGCCTCGCCGCTCCACTCATCTGGTATAAACTCAATTATATCGAAGGTCGCTCCCATCGCAGACGTTGAACCCTGCCTCGAATTTTCCCGGCATAAAAGCATCAGAACAAATCCGATGTCCTAGGAAAAGCTGGGCACAGAATAGTCAGGGAATCGTCGAGCTATCGGAACCTTCAATGGGGCTTTCCTCAATAGGAACGCATCGGGCTCAAGAGATGAGAACCCCTTTGACGGGAGATCGGATCAATTGGAGGTTACGACGCGCAGCAAAGAGGGAAAATCGAAATGCGGCTTACAATGCATAGCGATCGATCGTCAGTCAATGCTTACCCCTATTGAATGTATTCAGGTACGCAAGAACGCGTGTTTGTACGCCATATAATAGCCAATCGATTGAAACAAAGTTCCGCGAACAATCGCGACGCCGATCGTTGCTCCAGAAAAGACAGGAGCATCGCAATGATACTCCTTTTCCGAGCCGAATGCGAGAGCTCTCGAGTTTAGTCCCCGAGGTGTCGTTGAAGACCTCCGTGTTCCGCCACACCCGTGACTTCGGCCGAGAGCCGCGGCCCGGCCCGCATACAGGAAAGATCAAATAATTGGCTTCGTACCGATATCCGACTCCCTTGGGCGACATGAGCTCGACAACAATATTGGGTTATACTGCGTCTGGGTCCGTTTTCTCTCTGCGCTTGCTCTGTGGGGCATTCTCGATGAGCTCGGACGAGTTATGTGATGTCAAGTGGTTGACGATATTGTATGTGCATCAGCAGTCCCGACGGCGCGGCGTCCTATAGGATCTCTTAGAGCGCTCCACGGCGCTGGAGGAGATTGGGTAGTTTCCAGATGCTCGAGTGATTTCCCAGCCCCGCGAAGGAGTCATCCAGCCTGAGATCGGAGAGGATTCGACCTGGCAAATATATATAGGTGACTTCGCCGGCAACTCGTGAGTGACCCTGTCGATTTTTAGAATCGCAGAGAGGCGAACTTTTGCGGCCTCGCGGAACGAACGATCGATCGATGGTCGAATTCGAAGGTGGAGTGGCGTCCGTTCATTCAACGAACACGAGCCCCTAACACCCCTACTTATTTCCCCGACATAGCTGGCTACCTTCGTCCCCTTCCTGGACTCTTGGTCGTCGGTGAGTCGGTTGGTTAGTCGGTCGGATTCTGCCGAGCGTACCTCAGCCCTCTCCCGGATACGCTGAAGGAAATCACAAAAGCCAGGAATACACAATGGACGCCCACGCATAACGACTCGACGGGAAAGCCTTGACTCGCTGGAAGTGGAGGCCGCACGATACTTCAGCGCTGTGTCCAGTCGCCATTAATTTGCAGAGACAGTTTTCGTGGTCGGCTGACGGCGACAGCGACCACCAGGGCTCTTTCTCTTTGCTCAGCCGGTGGTTCCCCATGACATCGCAGTGGGGAGCCTCGCCCACGGAAAGCGTCAAGGTCGTCTCTTCGTTCTCTCAGAGATAACAGCGGTAGAACATTGCGACAACCGACTTTCAACCTCGTGAACCACTTCCGCTGCGAACCTACTCACGGTGGCCTCAGGAGCGGACCTCTTCCACCCCGCCTCCTCGCCCTAGGAACACTCTGAGTTACGTGAACGGTTTGGTATCATCCAGACTATCATCCAGCCCATTCGAGCGCGCTTCGCAGAGAATGCGCTTTCTTGTCTAGATCTCTTAGGAGAAGTCGACTGTTTCGCAATTTACTATAGCTCAGATGAGTCCATCCGCTCTCCCCGAAAATATGGAACCAAATCTCGAGTTCGCACATCTAAGGGTTTCCCCTCACGATCGTAACTTTTGTGAAGCTGGGGACCTATGGCAGCCGAACGTGTTGAGCCCTCCGGGAAGTCTCTTCCCGGCGCCTGTTTCATTAGTTACTTTCGGAAACATCCTTCTAGTCGAGTATCCAGCTAAATCTTTCGTTGCAGGACAAGCAATTGAGGGAGATTGAGAGCAACAATAAGTTAGCAACAGGGGAGAACAACACAACGGCCAAGAGCAGAGGGCTCCGAAGAAGCGAAGAACTCACTTCACTTGCCTTACTCAATCTTCCTCCGAGGAACATCGCCTTGTTTTTGTGACAGCGACGGAGAGCGAACACAGTATTCCCGAGACCAAGTTTCTCGTAAGCGAGCGCGACGTCTCGTCGATACCCTAGTCGACCAGGGATAAGAGAGAAATGACAGGCGTTGGAGCCTTGAAGATACTTCAGAGCGTATAAGCTTCCATCTTCGCACAGGAATCGATTCGCCGAGTCGGGAGCTGCTGCGACTAGCGCGTAGGAGAACCTTTTCGAGATTACTATTTCTGAGCCTCCGTCTGCTCCCAATCTCATTGCTGCTTCCCGCCGAATTTCCGTTCGCGGAGCTCGAATTTCCAAGGGAACACACTTGTGGGACCGAAGGGTATAGCCATAGATACTCCTCGGGTGCCTCGGATGTTCTCTCCAGGGGTAGTTTTTCGTTCTCGGAACCAAACGCCACATATCCGCTTTGAATACCCGAGAGACATAGATTTGAGCCGACTTTATCTGAAGCTTATTAGAGCTCACTCAGCAGAGCCTTCCATTTCTTCGTCTTTCTTCGAGACGAAGTCCTACGATCCTCTCGAAGATTGCTTACGTCTGAGGCTTCTGAAAAACTCAAGAAAATTACACTCACTTGTTAACGCCGTAACGGTAGACGCCTGGCATGCTCGGCACGGTTTCTATGCCATCGGGGGAGTCGGTGACAAACAGAGGCCACATCAGGTTCTCGGGATGCAATTCTGTGTTGCTCTGCTGCCAGCACCTGAGGGTTTGCATGAAATAGCCCGAGTGCAGGTGTTGAGAGAAACTGCCGGTCGACGGTGTCGTCGGCTGGAACAAAAATTTGAATCATTTTGACGAAGTCGGAAAAAACTGCTGTGTATCGCTCGAAAAGGAATCAACCCAGCGGATTCAAGCTATTTCGAGTCTCTTCATACTGCCAGAATCCGTGGTTGTATGTACGATCTCGAGCTCAAGTGAGTAGAGTCATTTTCCCGGTGACTGCGTTCCGCAAACATCCGGTTCTCGAAGTCCCGACTCGAGTCGGCGTTTCGCATAGGAGCGGGACAGGCTCCTGGAGAAACTCCCGGTCCTATCGAGCTTGAGCTCCCTCGGTTATTCCGATCGCTCGCTACAGGAGCGGTGCCCGGAGCGCACCCGTGTTTGAGTTCGGGATCCGGATCTGATTCTGCTCTTCAAGGATAGGTATCGATTTCTCTCCGGATCATCATCGGATCTAAAATTCAGAATCAAGAGGCAGATACGATCAAGCCGCTTCCCAAGGCTTGCTCGTCAAGGTCCATATATAATTTGCCACCCTCATCAAACAGGTCTTAAAACCGATTATGCGGAATGAGGCATGGATTCGATGCGTAGGGTTTCATCTCGTCTCAGGAGCGAGATGAAACCCTCGAAAATCAGTCGCGAAAGGCTCGAATCCCAGTCGCGCATAGAGTATCGATCCGAAGATCTCCCGGCATAGAGCAGCTCTGCCGTACATAATCTCAGTGGTTACGGGATATGAGGGAGGAATAGGAGGCGTACGCCGCCTAGATCACTACGAGACGGTACTAATTTCGGAGCGAGACATCGACTTTCCCGAACGATGTGCTGAGGTCCGTCACGCGAGAAGTCACTGCAAGCAGGGAAGAGACCTCGCGGGGAACAGCCCTTTTTTCGACCAGGAAGAACAATCCAAGCTTCTCGATTGATACTCCCGGAGCTTTGCATCGGGAATCTCTTCCGAACGGTTCAAGGGGATCATTTATCATGAAGTTCCGCAACTGACCGAATTGCTGACACGAGAAAGCTGGACCGTCTCGACAAACAGTCGGTTGGAAGTTTCCTAAAGTAATCAAACACCTGAGTAGATAAAGCACTCGAGATCTTCCAGGAGCAGTCTCTGCTCCTCTCGAATCGTTTCGAGATGTTAGACTGAGTGAAAATTTCCGTAAGCCGCGACGGGTGTTTCCGCTCAGGCCGGCACGGCTGGGAAGAAAACAAATGAAAGCACCTCTCCGGAAACTCCCGGTAGAGTCTAGACCAAGCGGTCGCAGGGGGATCGAGGACATTCCTCGCAGTTTTGGCTAGACGACACGCTCTAGAATCAGCGCAATGAATACGGAGCGAGATCTTGTCGACACTGATTAATTAGCTGAATGATCACTTCAACAAGTGTCATTCGATAATGATGGCAAACCTTTAGGCTGAACGCAGCGAACATTTTTCACAGATGGATCCCGCGCCGCGTGACGAACCGAATAGACAAGGAGTGCGCGAACAGCCGCGCTGTGTGTTCTCTCCGCTCACAGTGTGTGCTCACAATAAATGAGTGGATCTGGATTCGTCGCCGTGCGCCGAACTCCTTGTCGTGTGGTCCACTTTGAGAACGTCTGCCGTGACGTGCTGCGGAGGAGGGTTCATGGCCCAGCACCATCGCCCAATTAAGAGACGACGAGCACGACGGTGCCTGACCTGCCAGTGAGCAGCCGAGAACAGACACTCCCCAATAAGGCGAACAGCCATAGAGCGCGCGGATACGGTCTGGACCGACCACCACGCCCTGCTGCCGTATTGGATCCGTCAAGTGAATAATCTATCTATTCTAGGTCAGCAATTACCGAGTTCAAAGAAGAAAACATTTCGAGTCCGGCGTCCAGGAATGGAGAGCTTTCTCGAGAGACACCTCCGATAGTGGTCTGCGGAGAGACGCTCTGGCGCTACAGCAACCCTCTCCACGAGTGGCAAGCGAGCGAGCGCGCACTGTTATGTTGTTCGATTTGGCTTTCGAAAAGCCCGCCATGGCCGGCGGCATTTGAAAAAGACCGCCCTGCTCGCTCTACGGGCCCCCGCATCGGAATCGGAATTCGCGATGATTGCCGACGAAGGCATCAAGGTGGCGGATGATAACTCGGAGTCATAGCGATGCCACGGTATAGCTGAGGGCAATAATGAGATCTGGAACCGGAATAGGCAATCGAGATCGATCTTTCGGGGAAAAGTCTTGACGTTGGCGCTGCTTTTGATACCTTCGCCGACCCTCTCCCTCCAGCTGGACCTTCCGTCGTCGTCAGCCATATTGTCCTGAATATGCAGTAGAACCAAGCACCGTGATCGTCTCGCTTTGAGAGAAGCAATCCGACTGAAATAGAATCAAAACATGTCTGGACGCGGAAAAGGAGGAAAAGGTCTTGGAAAGGGAGGCGCCAAGCGTCACAGGAAAGTTCTGCGTGATAACATTCAAGGTTTGTGTGGTTTTGTGCACTGGAGTCGGCGAACCCTGATTCAGTAATTCATTGACGCACCAAAATTGTCGAACCGACGACTTTCCGCGAACAATGCGTGGACCCATAAGTCGAAAGAAACCGATGCGTTCTCGAGTGCCAAGGGAGCTGGATATTACGGATTTCCACTACCCGAGCCTTGGAGTGGACTGCCCGTTGTCCGCTGAGCTGCATGTTAAGGCTATATGACGAGTTCGTAAGGCGAGAAAATACAATGCCTCGGGAACTTCCGCAGTCCGACGGCATGATTTCAGGAGAGAACCGATTCATATCGACGAAATTTGATCTTCGATTCCGCGATCTCAGCGCGCCGATATCTACGTAACGAAGCTCACTCTGATCGATCGAGGGTTCCCGTTTCCAGGTATCACGAAACCCGCCATCCGACGTCTCGCTCGCCGTGGAGGTGTCAAGCGTATCTCGGGTCTGATTTACGAAGAAACCCGCGGAGTGCTGAAAGTATTCCTCGAGAACGTGATCCGTGACGCGGTCACATACACCGAGCACGCCAAAAGGAAGACCGTGACAGCCATGGACGTGGTGTATGCCCTGAAGAGACAAGGTCGCACCCTCTACGGTTTCGGCGGTTAATCCTGGTCACCCTGGTCCTAGGCCCGCTGCGATGTAATAATCTTGAGAACTGGTTCCAGTATTGACCGTGAAACGTGTACATAAAAATTGGCCTTTTTAGACTTCCCAGGAGACAGAATAAACGAAGAAGTTCCAGAAATCGTATGGGTGGATATTTATTTGGTCTGTAGCCACAGATCCCGATCTCGAACCAACAAAAGACAAGCGGAGAAGCATACTCGTCGAGAGCTTCTCGTGTCCATCGAGCCCCACGTTTCCATGTATTTCTCCGAGATCGGTCTCAGAGAGAGAGAGAGGATTCGCCCTCAATAAGAGGAATGTCGCAGCTGTTTCGGGAGAACACGGGTCGGAAGTCTCCCCTTCCTGTGCCTGACTGAGATTCTAGTCAAGTCCGAGATTACAAAGGATAAGAGTCATGTCTCACCGATCAGAAATGAGCGAACAATTTTTCTTGAAGTTCAACAATGTCGTTTATTTTGTCATATTTACATTATGAAGAAAGCAACCTGGTGTCGAAGTCGTCATCATTTTTCATCTCAGTTTTGTATTCAAACAAGCGGTTACGAAGTGATTGATGGTTCGTTCATTCGAAAATTTCCACCATTGATGTCATCGTGGTCAACGTGCCTTTCATCACACTTAGTACGTGTTCTCAAAGCAACTTGGAGAATGGCAGATGTGTCGGTAATAATAATCGTTCTCCTGCGAACGACTCAAATGAACACAACACATGCTGCTGGGATTGAACGTGCGGTTCGATCTACCGGAATCGATCTACACGACGGAAATACAAAATCTCTAAGAAGAGACCGGATTTGTTTTTCCTCATTCGTGGACTTCGGTACCAAGTGTCACGTCTCCGTCTCCCTGCTTAACACGTTATTGTCGTTATGGTAATCGTCGTCTTCATCACCATCATCGTTCCATCCGCCAACGACTCGTTGACAGCTCCGTTGGTGAAAATGTTGTTTGGTTTATCACATTCATCGTGTTCTGAAGACCATGGTCGAAGTATCATAACAACTCGTTCGTAGCATCGAAATCAAAACTAGAAATGCCTGGACAAGAGGTCGAGACGTTATGTATTTTTTGAAAGTTGTTTGTCGAGGCCGTTTTCTATGCTGTCAACAACGACCCGACGCCTAAGCTAAATCGGATCACAGGCTCTGACTGAAGAACGTTCGACCACGATCCCGATCAATACATTCGCTCATCTGAAGCTATCTCTCTTGGGATAAAATTGGAAAAAAAAAGACCGGGCCCACTTCGGATCAGAAACGGATGAACAGGTCCGAATCATCCTGGTAGCATAGCAATTAGAGGTATCATATCTGCATCAACGTCTGTTACGTTCCCGGATGGGGAAACTCCGGTCCGGGACGCGAATCGCTGAATTGTAGGAGGAGGTCGGCATCCCCAGAAAAATCCCGGCTGCAGGTCAAAGTACTCCGTGAAGTCCGTTGAGCTCATCTCACTTCGTGAGTGAGGAGTGAGGAGGGTTTTCGAGCCCATCAATCGCAGGCGAATGAAATACTTTTGGGGGACTCTTCGAGCCCTAGAGCCACATTCTTCTTTTTGTCCGGAGAGCTTGGAGCAAAGCAAATTGGTAGCGAGAGGAGCACAAGTTTCGGCATGTCTCTCTACGATTACAACGACATCACTTGAGAGATTTTCACCTCACACGGTTTCGACAGGATGAACGCGAGCGTTGCGCGAGAAAATTCAACGGGTTCGCGGAATTTCCACAGGAGATAGAATGTGTTCAAATGTAACATATTTGGTTTTGGAGGGACTTTCAGCGATCTAACGCTGATCAACAATCATCGAGAACAGTCGCATGTAATCGTCGCTCGGCAGTCGGGAGTCAGTGATTATTCAAGTGGGTTCGATTAATGACGGCGCTTGAGCCGGTCTCATAGGTTGTAGTCCGCTCTAACTACCAGGAGAACTTTCTCTTCATCTGTGGACCGAAGTTTTTACCTATCAGTTGCTGCTGTGTTGATGAAGTAAATGGAGAGGTTGCTGTGTATTCTATACAAAGCAAGCGATTCTGCCCGTCCTTAGGACTTCCGGAATTCCGCGATGATCATCCGAGGTTTGAGACCCTCGATTATCGAGAGATTTGACCACAGAAATCAGGGAGACCGGAAATAGTTTTTCGTGCTGAATTCCGGTAGTCTGAGTCGAGAGGTTATATCGCTGCATTTGCGGCGTTCCGATCTTAGAACCACCTTCCGTGAAAGTTGGGGGGGGAGAACTGAATACAAATTCTGTACAAATGTAACGGTTGACGCGCGTGTAGGCGATTTCAATTTGGGAAATTTCTGTTTTTGCCACTGCTTTTGGTGTGGTTTTACGTTTGGGTCCTTATCTCACGATCAACAAAATAATAATGATTCCAATAGCCTCCTCTACGATTTTCGTCAAGCTAATCGTCGCATAAAGTTCATGCGGTGATGAGAGGGAAAAAGTAACAAATAATTAGGAATAATTATTAGATAATGAAACAATCGGGCGAGTCGTACGTCATGTATTTCGATCATCATGACCGTCCTCGTAAACACCAGAATCAGCATCATTGTCTTCATCGTCGTTCTCGTTATCAAAATCGACCGTGTTCATCATTGAACGAAGTCAGATCGTCTCTGAAGAAGAGACTATTTTCAACGATGGGCTGAGTCTAAAACGGAGAGGACTCGGACTAATGGATCCGCGCGGATCGGACATCAAATCGATGAATCGATGAAACTATCGAGCAATCAATCAATCAACCTATGAATGATAACCGAATTCGGAGACGAGGACGATGCGAAGTCGATCGAGGGAGAAAAAAAAGAAAACAAATTGCCCGACAGTCTAGACAACGGCTGCAGAGAGTCTTGTGTACAGAATAAAATAGTCTTTCTAGCCATAATAATTATATAATATATGTAGTATGTATGATAATATATATATTTATATATGTATATAACTATAATATGTTTGCCTTCTTCTTCCGAAGCGCATTTCGTTCTCCTCCGTGCCTAAGTTGTCTTAATGTGTCGCTCGATGACAAAAGTAAATAAAAATAATGGTTGTTATAGTTATTGTTGTTGTTGTCGTAGTAATAGTAATATTGTCAAGATAAAATTCATTCGGCTCTCCTACGCTTTCAAATGTCCAAAAATGTTGCGACGTCGCTAGCGAAGCGAAGCGATCAATAATTGGGAGGATCGGTCATGAATCTGGTCGCTTTAGCGTGATCTTATCAGCCGTCCCGTTGTTTTTGATGAACTAATCGTATGAAGTTGCTGTGTTGGGTTGCTTGCTCGCTCGCTTTTTACGCTACGTACATATCTGAATGTAAAAATTCATAATTGTCGAGATGATATCGGTCGATCGATAGGAATAATCGCAGTAATTTGAATAATAATGATCATAGATGATATTCGAAACGTTACATTACGTTCTATAAGCTGTCCTCAGTTTCGTCCGCCGGGCGTTCACTTCTGACAGCTAAGGCGTTCTGAGTCTCGGAGCGCTAAAGTGAGGCGATCGCGCGACAAGCTTGCTTGCTCACTCGCTTAGCCCTCACAGGGAGGGATGGAGGTGGTTGTTGTGTTAGAGATGTCTTCAACAGGGACTTCATACCAAAAATAAAAATAGAGCTCTCTGAATCCGAGCAATCGCGCTGACCGCCTCCTCTCAGCGTCCACCCCCGACTCGCGATCTTCTCCGTAATCCCTCCTCAAGATGACAGGTTCACTCGGTTCGCGGGCGATTGGAGGAGGGATCCGTTCGACTCGAGCATCAGGAGAGAACACTGGCTCTGCTCTTTCCTGTTTCTAGTCTTCATGTGTCCTCGTTTTCCAGAATATCCGTGTAAGTATATATATTACGCTGAGTTAGCTCTCTGCTTAAGCGCGCGATTGCGCAACAGCACCTTCATCGGGGGATGGGACTCAAGAACAACGACGACGAAACCGATCGCTCGATCGAACATCATCGTGGTAATCACCGTCCACTTGATCGAACGATGTCTTTCGAACACGACGCGCTGATTCCTCCGTTTCCCTCCGTCCCCCCGGGAAATCCTCCCGGAGAACTTCTTCTTCTCGTCCAATGCTCACGACGCTCGCCTCGTCTCGGTTCCTATTCTTCGGTATCACAACGAACACTGGTCTCGGGGCACGGCGTAGCACCGGTTCCGACCCTCACGAACGGACACGCGACCGAATCTTCCTCCAAAAGTGTGTGTTTGTGTTGTTCAATGGTCGCGGCCCGCACGCCAATCTCGCTTTGCAGTTCCTCGCGGCCTCCGAAACTTCTCTACATGGCAGTGTTCTCAAAGCCGTCCATTCCAAGTCTCGTTCACAGCTTTCCACGGCGTGACAGACAACTCCTCCTTTGAAGTGAGAACGCAGCGTTGCAGTCGATGGTTCACTGGTGAGTGGCGATTATGTACAGGGAGGGATGAAGGCCTTTACGTTCGCGTGCTGTTGCGGTATTTTGTCGTCTTCCTCGGCTTTTCTCACTCTCTCCTTCTCTCTTTCTTCTAGCTTTCTTTGGGTGTTGGCTCACGGTCTCCGTCTGGTGTGCAGCATTTCCATGAGCAATGTTTGCGTGGGCGCGTTACCGTTCACGTGTTTGAAGTAGAGGAACTCTTCTCCGCGCGACGACATTGCCTTGATCTCCGGCAGGATCGCCATCAGCTGGCTGAACTTGTCCTGAAATTCGAGAGGAGTTCGCGTGAGCTGCTTCGCATGCTTGATCTGTGAGGTGTGAATGTCGATGATGTTCTTCTTCTAGCTCCATCGAGAATGGCTACGGATCATGGGAACGAGCGGATACGGCGGGAAACTTACGGCGATGTTGGGATAATTGCTGGTGCAGTATTCGAGGAGAACCTGTTTTGTTTGCTCTTGGGCGTCGGTAACTAGTCGAGGATTCGACAGCATACGCACTTCGGGTGACGATGGATCTGCAGTAGAAAGCAATTAGAAACAGCAGGAATCGCTTCCCTTTTGGGGTACTCGTATATGCGACTCCCTTACAGAGGAACAAGGTCTCACCAGGATTGAGCAGCATGAGGAATTTGAGACAGGCGTAATCAACTTGGTCGAAACGGAGATCGGAAAGCTTTTGGGTGACTGCATGCAACTGATCGGCCATAGTCGGCATTCCCAGTAGGCAGAGCGACACAAGATCGAACTTTTGTCCATTCGGAAGCCCCGCTTCGTCCGGGAGATTATGGTGCATCCGCTGATGTATGTGATCCAGTATCAACATGTCTGACCACGATTGCTGCAGCAACTTCATTTGATCGTCAACCTGAAATGTTCGCTGGTTATACACATGCTGCAATCAATCAAGTAGCCTGGGATAGCAACTATGTAATGTGTCTTTTTACCGCTATGACCGATTGTATAGATTGCCCCGATCTCGAGCCTGGCGCCGGCTGTCCTGCGCTTCCGATGCTCTGGACGCCACACGAGGCAGGACCCTCGGAAGAGCATCATCCTCTCATTCGAGTTTCGTAAGCGGCGATATTACGTAAGCCCATTCGTAATGACGAACCCCGGAGATAATTCGAGCGACTGCTCCTCATGAGGTTGGCTTGGGGTTTCCTTGTTCTCTCAGAAGCCCTCGTCGATGAACATGCACGAAACGGTCTAATCTCGGAAAAAACTATCACCCGACACTGGGCTCGAGTAACGGTAACAATGTGCAACCATGATTTAATGAAAAAGACTTGAGAGGGACGGATTTATCTTCGGTTCGATGTTTCGTAAATGATTGCCGTTGCTGCGGATAGACGGAGCGGGCACTACAGTCAGCCACCAAATGGCTGATTGTGGGATACGCTGGGGTTGATTTCAAGGCCTCAGCTCGGAAGCTACAAACGGCGAACTGTTACCCGACACGCGGTGGTCTTGTGGATATGAATCATTCGCCCCACTTCCCGTTCCTCGTTCTTCAGAGTCCAGAGTCGGAATCTTAGCCGGAGCGACGTTTTGTTCAAGATGGGAGCTCACATCAATTGCTCTAGCCTCGAGATAAACCTCGGAGGAAATTTCGGGGAGCTCTGTTTTTTCTCTCGAAGAGGAAATATCAGTGACGGCTCCCAGAGCGGGCAAATCACGACGCGTTCTCAAGGCTGTCTTTCCAAGAGCGTTCACCTCCACACCTGAGCAAACTAGACTGCCAAGTTGCGGAGTTTGCGCAGACTTTCCGAGTCGGGAGACGGATAGCTCTAGCCGAAGATCAATGTGATGATTACGCGTATGAGTCGCGACCTCTGAAGGATCCTCTCGCGTACGGCGAGAGAGCACTCCGTCCCCTCGCTATGCCCAAAAAAAAATGCAGGGAACTTGATGCTTCATGTTGATTCGGGACTCCGCATATGATTGACCTGTTTCTAGGAATGAGAACGAGTCCGCCGGAGCGCTCTCCCTGGAATGCCGCCCTGACCTTTCCGTCAATCGTACTATGTATCCTGCACCGTGGCGGAAATGACGGACGCATCGAGTTCGTAAAGCTCAAGCTGCGTGCTACTGGTGGACTTCAGTGGATCGTCCAAGGTTTACGCGATTCCACGGTCCTCAGGAACCGTCGGTCAGGTACCCGACAACGAGCGCGTTTGATTTCTTCAGATTTCGTTCCGAATCTTTCTTCTCCGGGATTTGTCTGTTCGCTGGCCAGTGGCCAGTGGGGTTCGATCCTCGAACAAGGAAAATTTCCGCCCTTCTTTCTCGTTGAGGGATCCATGAATACCGAATCGGGATTCTCTGTTTCTGGATGGAGTGACTCTGATTCCTCTCAGCTAGAATAATAAGCGGCAGGAGTCCGGGCCGCCCGTCGAGTCATCAAGCTGGAGAACGAGAGTGGAGGTCTGAGCGAGCAGCTGAAAAGTCAATGATAAGTGCGGCGAAGGGAACGGTGAGAGCATTTCGGCAGAACGGAAACGTTTGGAAAAGCGATTCCAGGTCGTGTTTCCATGAATACTCGGAGCGAGAAGCTTTTTCTTCTTGCTCTTCCAACCGGTCGGTCTATTCCAGTTTGAGTAGGAATAAATCTCAGGGGGCCCCCGTGTCTGTTCTGCCCCTGCCATGTTCTACCGTTCACTACCCGTTCCAGCCTTCCGCCTCTCTTCATTCCGATTCTACACATGTCTCTGCATGCTCGCCGCTCGAGTCTTCCGAGTGCACTCTCATCGCTCCTCCCTACGAAGGCGAATAGACCTGGTGGAGCCGTCGAGCAATAGAAGTCGGAAATCAACGGAAGTAGCGGGAGGAAGACACTCAGCCAGCCAGCCGGCAAGAGGGCCACCAAGCGACCGACTGACTGACTAGATGACTGTCGGACTGACTGCAGGCCAGGGAGAAAGGCCACGAGAGCAATTACGAATCGTTCATCCAAGACAAAGGATTGTCGTCGGGTTTCGCGCTGCTGTTCGAATTCATTCGTTCGTCTTCTACCAATGGCTGCCAAAGGAGCCGGCCATCGCTGCGGCAATAGTTTTGGTAGCTGTGGTCAGACCGAATTCTTTTTTGCTAAGCTCGCTGGTCTTCTTAACCTTGATCCTTGACCCGCCTACCTTCCACATGCGCGCAACCATCATCATTATCTCGCACGATCCACTGTTAGTCTACGCGGTCGTGTGCGCCACCGTCGTCGTTGCTGTAGTTGCGGTGGCAGCAGCGGCGGCGGCTACTCGGTCCGTCAGCTTGAAATCCCCTTCGCCCGATTGACGTTTGTTGTTTCCCAATAGATCCTTCTTGCCCGTAGCCTTCAGCGGCAAGCGGACTTCATTGTTGTAATGGGGTCGACGCCGCTTGGCCAATGCAGTAACAGTCAGCTCAGTTGAGCCAACCGACTGACGGGCGGACTGACGTACCGACGCACGGGCAAACAGACGGACAGACGAACGAGCAGTCGGTCGGAGTGGTAGCTCGCTTGACGTCCAAGCTAGACGTCAGTCAGTCGGTGAAGCAGTCAGCTTGGAGCTGTCTTTCCATCCGACCGCCAGTCGGCGCTGCAATTGTGTCAAGGCAACCCGTGCGGCGGCGGCGGTTGCCCGCTCGTTTCGGAAAGCAATTCCACGCCACCTGGCGGGCGGTGAGGCGAATAATGGAAGATCGAAAGCGAACCAAGGACACAAATCCGCGCAAGGGCCGCCGGCTACGCAACACCAGCGAAGCTTGGTCGCGTCATACGTCGGCTTCCTCCGTCTGTTCATTCAGCATCGCCTCTGCTATCGTCGTTTGCTACGGCTTTGAATGGATACAATGTTTTCCCGACGACAATGCAACTCCCCTCCTTGTTTTCTCCGGACTCGCAGTGGAAGACATCATTTAAAATACATAAGACCATCAGTGGAAAATATGAGAGCGGTCTCATACATTAGAGCCGTTCGCTTGCGTAACAGTCTTTCTTTTCGGTTCGGTGTTATCACAGAAGTACGAACGGGGGCGAGAAGTCGAGCAGATGACTGACGCTCGGAATGAAAACGCTGGTGAGTATCTGAGTTCTGTAAGGTTGAGCTCGGGCACCGCTCGCGACTGTCAACAAAAGAAGACTCACCTTGAGTTCCTTGAAGTATATCGTAGACCGCGCCCAGTCCACCTGCGCGAAGAGTGCTTGGTCGATGACTTTGCACATGAGCTCGAAGAGATCCACTTCGCATTGGTTGTACGTTTGTGACTGCAACAGCTGGAACAGCAGCGACTGCCATTCCTTCTCGTCGGTCATGTTCCTCAGTAGCTCCCGCACGAGGGAAGGCACCTTCGATTGTGGAGATTGTTGCGACTGCGAGGTGATAACCAGCGGCAATGGAGACTGCGACGACGAGAGACCACCCTCGAAGTTCTGGAATGGGACGATGTTCTGCTTTCCGCTGGCGGCTGTCGCCTGTTGAGGCGCCCAATTAACTTGGTTGTTGTTGTTGTTATTATTATTGTTGTTGGTGTTATTGTTGTTGTTGTTGGTACTGTTGTTGTTGTTGTTGCCGCCGTTCGGAGCTGATGCTTTTGGTGTTTCGAAATGGCCTTGTGGGTTCAAAGGAGTCACCTGCGGAATAGACAGCGGACACATGAGGCTTGAGCTAACGGAATTTCCCTCCGATCATAGATTTTCTTCTCGGAATCCCGAGTTGTCTCTCCCTCTCCTCGCAGGGCACGCCCCGCCTGCGAGAAGATCAGAAGTTCGCGAGAAGCGAGGTGAAGTGACGAAAGTGACTTACGCTTCGGTCTACTTACCGTTGTAATACTGAGACTCGAGAGGGTCGTTTGGAGAGGTGATGGAGACGAATCAGGAGAGGACGTTGAAGAACTCAACTGGGGGATCTGAATCTCTTGTTTCACTCCCCCGTTGGTGTCATACATGCCTGGCGATGAAACCTGCAAGACAGGAAAACTGATTCAGAAAGGAGAAACCAAGAGAGGAATTCTCTTTTTGGTTATCAGCACGGAATCAGGTACATAAAAATCTCGAGTTTTTCGGTCGGCTCCTCGTTCTCTTGCGCATTGCGGCTTTCTCCGGAGATTCCCGTCTGAGGGTTGGCCGGCGAACAAGTTTTCCAGAATAACTAAGAGGAGTCAGAAACTTTCGGAAGTTGTTACTCCGTCCAGAAAACGAGATCGACGTCGAACTGCGGGAAAGCGGTGCACATTGTCTCGATAGAAACTTCTGGCTGTTCAGCTGTTTGCACGCGCGGCTGTTTTTGCCTCACTGCCTGCCAGTCCATCCGTTCGTGCGTCCATCCCTCCGTCCGTGGGTCCGGCTCGACATCCAGTCCGAACTATCTTCTCGCATCCACTGAAGAGCGGATGGTGCCTTAGGCGACCCGCGAACAATTCTGGTCGAAGGACCGCTTCCACTCGCAATGTCTGAGGCAAGCCACAAACCGGTAGGAGTTGAGCCGTTGCCAAAAACGCGCCGTATACTGGCGCCGCGCGATGACATGCCTTACTACGATCGGCTCGAATAGCAACCGGCAGCAACATAACAGGCAAACAGAGTTCTTGCTACGGGAAAGGCGAAACTCGCCAAAGTACTCCGTTCTGACGGCAGCAGCGGGACTTTTGAGACTGATGGAGCACATGGGTCGCTCCGACGAGGAGCCGCAGAGCGGGTTCGATTCGAACGGTGAATTTCCTCCATCGTGCGGGAGACTTTTCCCGGAAATTGCCACCGAGGGCGAATCATCAGCAGGATCCCTTTATCGCTTTCAACAAACAATAAATCCTGAATCAAGAACACTTACCGAAGCGGTTGGAATGGAGTACGGATTGGCGGTGATGGCGACCAGTGTACTTTGGGACATGGAGTCTCCGCACTGCAATGCGAGTTGCTTCTGCCGGAGCATCTGAAGCTTCTTCGCACGGTCCCTCTTGTACATTGGCCCGAATTTGTTTCGACCACCGCGCATTCGATCCGCTCGGACCGCTGAAAAATAAGAAATCAACACTCAGATCATCGTCCAGCGTTCTGCTCCGTCATCGCAAGCCAATTAACAAAGAAGAAAGCTGCTGAGAACAGGAAGAGGAGGAGGGAGAGAAGTTCCGTTATGTGTGATATTACCTAGGGTTAATTTGTGCCACAATTAACTTTGAACCTTCGAATCTACTCAGAGTGGGCCGTAAGCTCCTTGTAAGTGAGTGATTAGAACAGCGACAAGGTCATCTGGTTTGCTGTTGTCGGCGAAGCTGCGTCCATCCGCTCGCTCACACGCCGTCTCTTTTCCCGCCAAAAGCTTCGACCTGGGTCTTCTTCTCGCCCGACGACAACTCAACTATGAGGATTAAACACGGAAATAGCCTCGAGCCAAAGTAGGATCGAGCCCGAGCGTCAATTAGACAAAGGAGATAGAATCGCTCCTAGAGTTCTCTCCTCAAGCTCGCATGGCACCCCGCTTCAATTCACGGCTCTAACCTGGATCTCTGTCGCTCCCGCTGGAACTCTGTTGCCACCCGCCCGCCCAGATCCTCGGGGTCCAAGTTGCGCAACGACCGGATAAAGATTTGACCGACCGGCAAGCAAGTGGCCACTGAGCGGCCCGACAACACGGAATGGACCTCGAAGGTGGGGCGAATGACGTCTCGCCCCTTGCGGCGACTGCCAGACGGAGCTCGGAACTCGAACTTTGCTTCACAGAGAGAGAGCTGCGAGAGAGCCGTATAGCTCTACCTTGGCGTTCCGGAAGCATCGTCGACACGAAAGAAACACACGCAAGGCGCATGAACCCCCGGAATCGGTGTCTCGATTCGATTTGCGTTCGAGTGTGTCAAGTGACCCGAATTCCGCTTAAAGTTTCAATTCGTCGAATTCGATTCTTGGGTTTGCCCACGCGGCCCGGAACCAGTCCAACAGCGTTGCCGACTGAGGGTCCGAGAGCCTAACGGTAGGCTGCTCAATTCTAAACCCCATTCCCGAAACAGGTCAGACAAACGTCGCACTCACTGGGCCCGAGCCAGAAAGTGGGTCAGCAGAGCTCTCCAGTTCTCTAGGCCGCCTAGCGGCCAAGGCCTGGCCGAAAAATAGCACAAATATTGCCCTAGCCTCCGATGCCTCCGCCGGCCACGATTGCCGCTGCTACTGCCACGCTTCATATTTACATACATGCATCGATACGGAGATAACGTCGCCCGTTCAAATCGCCAACATGGTCACGCGGCAAGTCAAGAAACTGTACGAAACAGTGTTGCTCCAAAGGTTTGCTCGGGCGGGCGGGCAGACAGGCAGACCGGCGACTGGGCGGCCCGACCGACGGGCGGACTGCAACTACTTTGACAATCACACGTACTACGTCCGACAAGAATAATCTTACTGCAGCGGGCTGGTAAGTGGGTTACGCCTGTACCCTCCATGCTGCTGCTGTCCGTTGGTCGATTTAGTTCAACTGTAGCCATACGGTCGATGATAAGTCTGTCAATCATCTAGTCGAGTTACCAAGCTGAGGTGTCTATCAGTAAGGAACCAAAACAGGAGTCCGCTGGTCATTGAGACGGTCCTGCGCGAAAAACCTCGTGCGTTAGTCGCGGCGAGTCTCGACTCGAAATCAGTGAAACCGGGACGCTTCATGAATGTGGAAGCCGAACGAGGAATCAGGGAAATATGGAGCGTCACACGCGATGGCGATTCGATTCGAACCTGGGAGCTTTTGCTGTCCCAGGTTTGTAAGAGCTTTCGTTGGGTCGCTGTTGCATCACCGGAATCGCTCCCGTTTTGAAATATTGCATTCGATATTTATTAAGTAAGTGACTGAATGATTCATCATATATGCCGGGGCAACGATGATCTTGATCGAGTCGCCATTGTCGAGAGGATGGACGACGGCGCATTTTCGAGAGCCCACCCGAGTGAGGTAGTTGACCCTCGATTGCATGTGTGACGTTCGATGTAGCGAGATGTCAGTCAGTCAGTCAGTCAGTCAGAACACTGGCAAGCCACCTCGTAGCTCGCTCGGTAGACTAGCTGCTGGTTCTCCGCCTCCCGCTTGATGGCATCGCTCCTAGTTCACTTCTCCAGTACGCATGCCCAACCGCCGAAGCGGCCCGTGAGCGCTTGAGCAGACAACGAAAGCGCTCGACAACCGTAGACTCGACACCAACACGAGCGACTGGCCTGCCACAACAGCATCTTTACCACCGCCATCACGCATACGAGCCGGGACGCTCGCCGGTTCGGTTTCTCCTTGCTTAGACGATCCTTTGCCCGGCCGGGCGACTGGCAAAGGGACGGGCGACCGGCCGAGCCAGCCGGCTGCTTGGACCATCCACTACTCGAACAGCTAACGTAACGATACCAAACCAGAAACAGAAGAGGCTTACGATTCTGCCACAGGAACCAGCGACGTCGTCGACTTCGCCGCCAAACAAACATCTCCTCCCCGTTCCCTTCGGATGGAGCGACAACGGCGACGACGACAACAACGCGGGCGGTTGGTATCGGAATCATCGACAACAGGAAAATCGATATTCGGATTTGCGATTGCGGTCGCCGATCCAGAGCTCGGATTGAGCTTCATCTCCTCGTCGCTCACCGTCGATGGGTCGATTCTCTTCCGGCGAAAATCAATCCGGAGAGTTCTACCTCTGAGTGAGCGGAAATTCCAAGATAGCCTGACAGCGTTTTCGCCGAACACCCCCAGCGTTCATGGTCCGAACGTTGGAATATCCGCATGACAGAGCTCGAGGGAGAGCCGCTTGCTGTGTTCGGGGACGACCGAGTGTATTCCTGCCATCTGCGTCGAATGGATAGTGTTTGTGCGCCTGATTTTATTCGCCAAGCCTTCTTTTCCAAATCGTGGTCCATACAGGTCTGGGTAGCTTCGTTCTCGGGTATGGAAAGCGCCGACTCGTCGACGTCACCGGAGGGGAAGCGAGGAAGGGCTCGCACACACCGATTGCGAAGGTGCACGGACAACAACAAGAGTGGTTCATTGGCGTGAGTGGACGGGCCAAGTTGCTGCTTGGTTCGCCAGCGAATGGGCGAGTGAGCCGACTGACAGCCCGCTCGCTCCCAAAGCACCCTACAGAGTACGTGTAGCGGTGCTAACATAAAGCATTGCTTGCGTTTGCCCCGATTCTCTCTTCGGCGAGACTTCGGACTTCAAACCTCGGTGGCCGCGGCTGACGTCACGCGATGACTCGGCGGCGCAAAAAAAGCTCCCATGGAATAGTCGTGACTGGAATCGTCGCTCGATCGTCACCAGACGGGGCATTTTTTCTTTGCCCATACCCCGAGCGGAGCGGCAGAGCCGACGCCTCTTTCCCAGGTTTTGCAAGCTCTCTTTCCGAATTCGTATTCGAAAACCTCCGGAATCATCCCTTCTCGCTCTAATCGACCTCACCCGGCACATTGTACGACCAGCTATAGACGCACATATTATTTTGGCAGACCCTCCGGAGATAAGACGTTGTCGGAGCCACGATGACTTCGTAACTGAGGGAGATAAGTCCGACGAGGCTCGATGGCTCATAGTCAGGTTGAATGGAGACTGGGTGGCTGTACGACAGGGACGGATGGGCGCATGAATGCGCTAGGCGCGGCGTCTTGCCTCTGCCAGGAGTCGTGCCTGAGCAAAACGGTAACCGAACGTTTTCATAGCATAACTCATACATGTGTCGTAACCGTGGACATCCGGAGTGAGCCCAGTGAGTGCCGTAGCTTAACCTACTTTCGATGTAGGTTAGCCTCCCGACAGCGCGCACAGACCGGCATTGCAATAAGGCGACTCAACTACTGTTGTCCTTGTCGTCGTAGCTGCGGCTGCTGCCTACGAACGCCCTGGCTAGCAGCCTGGCAAGCTTCAATCGACTCTTTGCCTCTACCACTCCAACAACAATCCTCAAATCTCAATCCATAAATCAGAACCGCTATGGATTCCGACAACTTCCGTCGAGGGATCGAGTTTTCGACTGCCGAAACCGAATGTTCGGATTCGAGCTGCAACTGCTTTATTTTGTCACGGGAGTTCTACCTCCGAGATCCCATCGATCCAGATGACCATTTGGAATCCTCCTCGTCCAGAGCTCCGGTCCCCAACGCTAGAAATGATCGTTTTACGTCCCTTGATTTGACTCGCTCTCTCGAAACGGAATAATGAGAAGAAGTCGACGAGACTCGCACCTCCTGAGGCCCAATCGAACACTGTGCAGTTGTTCAGTGGAATCCGAATATCAGACACTGCTGACATCATCGAGCAGATTTCCTCCTTGTTCCGTTTCCTCCTCCGCAGTGGGAAGATGATTAGCTAAATGGTGAAAGAAAAGGCTTCAGCCGCAGCTCGAGTTTCGGAAAAAAATTCCAGAGCACTGCCGTTGCGAAAGCAAATTTTCAAAGCGCTTCATCGGGACATCGCGTCACTGCTGGCTTATGACTGACTGACTGACGGCCGGAGCGGACGGATCGTTGGACGCACGCTCCATCCCGATCGGCTGAACGGGCACGACAGATGCGCAGACGGAAATTTTGATGGGGCTTCCATTCGATTGATTCACGAAACTTCATTGAACGCGATTCCGATCGCTATTCACTTCAACGCGAGTAAAGCAATTTTCCCCGGAAAGCTGTACGCTTCAGGAAGATATGTGTACGAGATGATCGTCGAGACTGAGTGAATTGACGGAGCGGACGTTTGGAACTGCTGATAACTCTCTCAGGTCAAATCTGAAACAAATCCGCACTAATTGATTTTTCAAGCGCTGTATGAACTTTCGTGGCGTCCACGTCACCGCATGTATCACGGTAAACGTTCATGAAATGTACATTAGCCGAAGCTTGCGGTAACACCACTCGTGGCAACAACTGGTTCTAAATTGCGCAAGTACCGAAATTTCGCCTTCGGCTGGCCGCCGTGTGAATCCGTTGCAAAGGCTCTTCGGAAACGCCGAACGTCAATAGTAAGAACGCTTCGGATCCAGAATTGTTGTTCTTCGGTTGAGAATTAGACTTGTTGAAGAGGTTAGCGTCGTCGTTGAATTTTGTCAGTCGTCTCAGCGTCCGCTCGTTCGTCCCTTCGTCGGTCTAGGTATAGCTCCTCAGCAGCGAATGGTCCTTACGTAGCAGCCGGGGCGAATGGTAATGGTTGTAATGGCGGTGCTGTGTCGGCAACGGCGGCTGGTGGTGGTGCTAGCGCCGGAGCCCTGACCCACTTCTGCAGTTGCGCAATTGACGGCCAAGCAACACCACATCGCCAACGACGATGACGATGCCACTAGCACCGCTCGCTGGTGCCGCTGCCACAGCCAGTGGGATGAATCAGCGAAAGAATTCCTCAAGAATATTTCCCTTTTCACGATTCGGAAGCGATACCGTAATCGAAACGAACTAAGGCACGAGCTGATCTCCTCTCCTCCTCGTACCGAGGGAGAAGCGCAAGGAGCTGTCTCCGAATCTGAAATCACGAGACGAAAGATGTTCCATTTCCTCTTGAGGCGCTTCGCAGCTCATTGATCAAGCCCCGGCTTCGTGAAGGGTCCTGCAGGGTCCGCGGGTCGATAATCATACTTCATCTCCCGTACTTCTCACTCACTATACTTGCACGATGGTGTTTGTCTAAGCGTCCTAGCCGGTGAGCTCCAAGCTGGCACGCGAATCAAGGGACGTGCACATCGGAAGCCGTAGAAATTTCGGAAGTTATCTCTTCCTCTGGGGTCTCGGTCGTCGGTTCATCTTCCCCCCGAGCCACAACACAGGGTTCGGTAAAAAGATTTATGCAAGACGCAAGAATTCATCTAGAATCTCGAGACGAGCTTCCTTCAGAGCCATGATTCCTCTCGAGTTTCACGTGAGCTGCCTGCTTTGATGAGGGTTCGATGCACGCACTCCACAGCAGACGGATGCCTAGCTGCGTGAATGTGTTTCCAGCAGGAGCGACCGTCGTGCGAGCCTTTATAAGCGTGATGTTCCTCCTCCGAGACAGAGAGGGATTCCTTTGAGTCCGCGAGACACTGGCAAGGAAGAAGACCCCGTCGACGATACTCGACTGCTTGATCTCCTGCCCGTATGCCCACTCGGTCTGTCTTCCCGCTTGCCTATTTGAAAGCTAGGTAAGCTGAGGATAAATGTCTCGTCTGTCGTTCGAGCGAGCTGGCGGGCCGAACGGCAGTCTGCTTGACCAAGATGAGGCCGTGCAGAGCGAGGAGAGGAAACGAGTTAAACTTGACACCGAGACCTCTCTCAGAGAAGAAAATGAGACACGCTGAACGCTTGCCGCCGAGCCAGCCAGTCTACGTTTAGGCAGAATCACATCTGTTCTAAAGAACGCTATCTCCGTCGTCGCCCCCGCCACCGCTGTTCCGCGGACTCTCCGACTTGCTTCGATGTTTGATTTACAATCGAATTCGACTATTCGAAAGTTTTTCTTCCTTCCATTGGGAACTTAGATCATAAAGACGCGTTGTTGTGAGAAAGAGATGGAGGCGACGACCGTGGCGTCGGCGGCGACGATGTATGACGACGTTCATATATCCAGACAGCGTCCGTGGAGACGAGACTCTTCGAAACAAGATAGTCCATTCCGTCCGAGTGTATCTAGCGAAATCTACTCAGCCTCTCTATCCGCCAAGACGAGCTAGACATTTCCTTGATGTTCCAGATCGAGGTTCCACTACGGAGATCTTCCGATTTTGCAAATTCTCCAAGCACAGCTCGGGCTGTGGGGAGATAACCTCAGCACGCGATCAAACCCGAGAGGAGAATTTAGATTTTACGATGACTAGAAGGCATCGTCATTCCAGCGTTTTGGCGCTGGTACGACGTATTGTCTCTCACCGTGAATGGTGGACGTCGTGGCCTCGGTATTGAACCGCCGAGAAGGTGGAGGAGGTCAAAAGGCTATCGAGGCTCGATGGAGAAGCGTTCCAGCTCTTGAGGATTCGGCCCTGGCCACCAGGAAGGGGAGAAGCGTCCCGAATTCTCTCTTCGCGGGAATGAGTCTGTCCTCTATCTCGGATCTTATACATATCGAGCTCCGTATCCCTTGAGCACTAATCTCAGGTCTAAACAGGAGCCAAGTAACCGAAAATTCGGCCCAGAGACGCTATTCAGGGGCAGTCGTCAACGGCGTGAGTGTTAAACGGGAGGAGCCCTCGCCGTCGGAGCGATATCGACGAACTACGATAGTATAGCGATGCGAGCCGAAAGCAAATGATAGCGGACGAAAATTTGCCGGGTCGAGGTCCGATAGGCCTTCCGATCACCACTTCTGAGGGAAATTCCCCCGCAGGAAACCAATCCATGCCGTACACTTTCTCCGCGGCTACGACGGCAACTCGAATGCGGGGTCGGGGCAACTGAGCGGTCGTTTGTAACGCCAACTACCTAGGCGTACATGGGAAGCTCGGAGAATAAACTGCCTTTCACTACGGCAGTCGGATGAAACGCACCGAGCATCGAGGAAATGATCACGATGTATCAGCAATGAAATCTAGCGTACTGAGTTTCGTCAATAGACCCCCTACTCTTCTTCCCCGCTGATTTTTCCCGCCTTTACGACCCATCCGGAGAATGTCGCGGTATGCCCCGTGCGAACTTCTGAAAGTGCCGAAATTACCGAGCTAAGCTGTCATGTCAGTGCGTGAATCCGCAGGTATGTTGTCATTTCATTGTGTGCCGAGTTGTATGTCGTAACTCGCCACGCTAGAGCGCCGACGGTGAGGCGGCGACTTGTCGTTGATGATGACTTTGCCTGCTGCAACTGCGTCGCCATCGTGTCAAGCGGATGGACTACGAAAGGATTGCTATTTTGATTTCATTGATTGGGACCGATACCCGGCAGCTCTCGCGTCGAAAGCTCTTCCCGTCATCCATGAGCCCTCTGTGGCCAGGGAAATACCATTCCGCTCCGCCATCTCTTTCAACGGGATCCCGAGATCCAAGTTACCCTCGCATTAGAGCCTAAAACCTTGTCACTCGAGTCGGGTGCGAGGTGGCGGATGTCATAGTGATAGCGACAACAGACGAGCAAGTCTAACGTTCAGAGAAGAGGATCTCCTCAATCAAAATAGGGATCAGTGCTTTCGCGATGGACGATTTTAGTCAGATGCAGTTAATCGCGACCGATGTGGCTGTTGTGCTTTGCCAGCAAGCTGTGCGAGTGTCCACACGCTCAACGCGCTCGAATCGGATATCCCAATAAAAAGGGCGGTAGTTGAATCTGTTTTTGATTCGATTGGCTCTAGCTGCGTGGAAAGTCTTTGTGCTTTCCGCTCCTTCCCTGGTACACATCGCGGCATCCCTCTTCACTTCGTTTTGGTCATACGAATAGTCTGGAAGAGATTGCAGTTAAATTTCACGTGGACGACTGGCTCTTGTTCTACCGCTCTCCAGTGAAGCCAACTGATGAGCGAGAGCCTCCAGCGAAACCTCGAGATGGGTTCCTGAGACGTTTGGAGCGCGCTGGTATTGTTCTCTGGCGTTTCAAAGCAGACAAACGACTCCAACACTGTCATTATTACGTTAACATTCGCTCGCTCGTCTCCGAGCACTCGTTTGTCAGCCGGAAAATCGCATTGGGTCAAGCCAGGGGTCTAAGCCTCATGTAGCTTGCTGGCGAGCTGGCTCAATCATTCTGGCGCAATCGTCACGACAGCATTGCGAAAACATTCCGACGGCTGGCTGGACGGAAACGTTTGCCTTCTGAAATCGTATCAGACGCTTGAGGGGCGCGCGTCTTTTCGGACTGAAGTGTCCCATAGTGAACTCGAAGTCCAGCTAGCTCTAGCGCAAGGCGGCAAGGATTGGCCAGCTGCTTCTGGTCCGGGCTGTTTCTCCAGCGGCGGCAGCCACGACGCGATGTCGGCAAACGTTCAGTCGGACGGCCACAAGCTGAGCCGCTCGTCGGAGGAGCGAGTGGTGGAAGACCACCAGTCCATTCGTCTGGCGTGCTTCCAGAGCGCCTCAAGACTTCAATTCAAACATTTCGGCTCCTCTGAACAATAAACCAGCTAGCTAGACAGTCAGTCGGTTGGCTAGCCGGGCGAGATACAAGTCGCCGTCGAGTTGGAGTAACATGGCGTCGAACGAGAGAATTTGCAAACTCTGTCTCAAGTTCACGTACATTCCACGTGAGGAAGAATTTCTGAGAGCTACGGTGATCCTGCTCGGAGCTCCCGTGTTCCTCATTCGATATATTGTATAAGATTTGGATGGCGGCGCGGAATCTGGACTTCCCGGAAGAATTCGGCTTGCACGGATAAACCTTCTATAACGAAATGATATACCTATAATACTTCACTGATCCTACACGCGATGAAGATGAGTACAGACGGGAAAAGGGAAAAGTACGTGCGATCAAAGCGTCTGAGGGAGTCGCGCCATCGGAATGGCGTTGATCAAAAGGAGCGTGAATACACAGAGAGAGAGAGAGGGAGGGCAAGTTGCAGATACTGAGGAGTCGACACTCACCTTCGAGTTTCATCCCGACGTTGAGGCACTTCTGGAAGCGGCAGAAGGGACATCTTTTCCTCTGCGACTTATCGATGTGACACGACCGTTCAGCCACGCACTGGTAGACTTTCTTGTTCTGAACCGTCCTCTTGAAGAATCCTTTGCACGACTCACACGTTAGCAAGCCATAGTGGTACCCGGAAACTTTGTCGCCGCACACGGGACACAGCTCTTCGATGCCGTCTTTCGAATCGGCTGAGCTGACCAGGGCCGAGTTTCCAGGTGAGATAACAGCCAACTCGAGCGAGGGGTTGTGCACCACACCCGGAGGCGCAGACACCGAAACCCCGTTCACGGCCATGACGTTGACCGGAGGTTGGTACGTGTCGTTCGGTACGTACTGACCCGTCCCTGTGGGAAAGTAGAAATTGTCCATGAATGAGGCCATGAGTGCGATTTTCGAGAGAATGAACTCTCGGCTCTGACGATGACGACGACGTTGGAGCAGGGGGAGGCAAATCACACGCGAGAGCTCTCGAGGACGGAGACGACAGCCACGACGGCGTTGACAGAGCAGGGGACGAAGGCAACAACTGCACAGTAAACCCTGGCAGTGAAAATGGAAGCACGGACAATGAGCACTAGACAGCTAGGATTATCCTAGCCGATGGGACGGTTCACGTAATCCAATGAGGTAGTCACGAGAAAAAAGTATCGGAGAGCGCAGTTCTCCGTCTTCTCACACAATCGTCTTGTCCATCAACGGGGGCTGTCTGTTTTCTTTTTCTCCTAAACTGTACACTACAACTATTCATGAACACAACACTTTGTTTTGTGTGACAATCACAGAAAGTCGATTGGTCGCCCGACGGTCGGTCGGTAGCTTATTTTGTCGGTCGGTCGCTTTGTCGGTGAGTAGATAGGTCGGTCGGCCGGCCGGCCGGTTGGTCAGTCAGTCGGTCGGTCGTTTGGTCGAATTAAACTGCTACTTGGAAAATATTCTTTTTCACACCAAGTTCTTCACGGCAGACTTGGTGGCGGTCGCGTTGATTATGGTGGCGGTCAAAATCAGGTACAAGATATATCCGCCGTATTCGGTCGCGTTTTCGGTCTGAGATGGTGATATTGGTGTGGAGTGAAGGTGATCGGGTTCAAGTTGCTGTCAGCCATAGGGATAGTCCACAACAGGCACCGGCACATTAAACATTATGGTCTCTCATCACCACTCCACTCATAGATCAGCTGTCAATTGACAGACCGACGCTTCACATTGATAGCGACCGAGAGCGTTCGTCTATATTCGTCGATTTGTTCGCCTCTGGTCGATGGCGGCGGGCCGCGCTCTGCGTCGCAGCCTTTGACTTCACGTCAGTTCTCTAGTGTACTCCTCGAGGATGTCGAGTGGTCGTCTCACTCTCAAACTGCTGTGATGACACCTGTGTGCGACTCGTATCCGTTCAGACACTTTTCACTCGTACACGTTCGAACTCGGAATGTGAATCGATTTCGTGAACCAAGATCCGGTGTCAGATGAAAGTTCACTAGAGACTGCGCCCCGGCTACCGGATTCACGATCTCCGTCTGATAAGTCTCCCTCACTGACAATCCTTTCGGACGATCGGACGGACGGACAGACGGGCGGGCAAGCGGCGGGCGAGCTGACTGAAGTACGCCAGACGAACGAGCACGGTAAACGAACCAAAAAACGAACGGACGGATGGACGGCGTGACAGTCTCTTTGAATATCGAGGCACTTCTGCAAAAGCATGCGATTTCTCCGCCGCGCGCCGGCTATTGCGCGAGAGACGGGGAAGGGAATCAAATGAGAGAGAGAACCAGCACCATTGCTTGCTGCTGTGGCAGCCGTTGTTGTTGCTGTCTCTCTTGCTCCCTAGCGAGCTAGCGGCCGACACCGAGCAAGCAGCGTGATGTAAGCACTCGCTGTTGCCGCCGCCGCCGCCGCCGTCACAGCACCAGAGCCCATAGGGATGTGGGCCAAGGTCGGAGAGGATATGGAGGGCCCGAACAACCATAGAGGGAAAGGGAATTTCCACAGCCTGACTGACTGACTGACTGCTTGACTAACCAGAGAACTAACGAACCACCTCTGGTTGCCGTTCTGATGTGAACAGGCGATCGAGCGCCCAGACGATCCAGATTCGGGTCATCACGGGGGGCAACGTGCCTAAAAAAGCAACGATTTCAACTTCTGGAAAGGGCCGTGGGATTCCACGGACTTCAAGCCCGGGGAATTCTTGTTCAGAGATTCGAACCGAACCCTCACAGTTTGACAAGTCATTCTGGCTCTATGTCGCTCGGGCTCGGGATTTGTAAGCGCGGAAAGCGCTCGCGGCCCTTGTCCGCGCTCTCGAGCCGCCAGGCGGTATGCCGGTGCTCAAATTGAGCTAAAGCGGTCGCCAATCGGAACTGGCAACCAATGATCAAGTGACTGAGTGTCCTTGACCTAGACAGTGTACGTCGGGAAGGAGGATAAAGCAGGCTAGGCTTACCGCAGTACTGCGAGATCTTTACTCAGTCGGTCAAGCTACCGGCCGGCGGCGGCTCCGTAGGCGGGCGCTAACGCCGACGGCCTGCTCGAATGCCTACTCAATGCTCTGCGGAGCGTCTCTGTTCCCGCCAGTCTGCTTTCGGTGGCCACAAGCGCGCGCCAGGCTGACCAGCCAGCCTTGGTCGACGCAGAGCGTAGAGCGGCCCGGTCCGACCTTGTGGAGGGCAAGCTGGGTAGAGCGTGGCCGAGACCACCACAGGCGGCGGTGGCAGTCGGTCAGAGCGATCGCAGCGATGATGATGCCACCGCCGCGCCGGTATAACGGTGCTAGCCTTGCACGTTAAGAGTACCTACTACTCGTTGGCGCTCGCTTGCGAGTCTGAGTTACTAGCGACCGACCGGCCGGCGGGCCGGCCCGCCGAGCCGCCTGCCGGCCTGGGTCAAGGTAGCCTGTGCTAGTTGAGGATGCGCCAGACAGAGAAAGTCGAGGTAGATCGCTGTCGGCGGCGAGCTCGCTCCGGGTTCCCTTCGCTCTGTTTGCCCGAAAGCATTTACGACCATATGGGTATGGACTCTGGAATTCAATTTCCGTTCACGTCAGATATACTCGCGGTTAGACGACGCCAGAGGAATCGTTTTTCGGTCTGTTCGGCTCTACTTTGGACGAAACTTATTTCGGGCACCCGCACTCTCTGCGCTATACATCACTTGTCGTTCGTTTCGTTTCTCGATGATTTCCGTCCCCACCGCGTCTAATGAAAGACTCTCAGCCTCTCGTCGAGATCAAACGCTCGGACGAGCTTCCAGTTGGCGACGACGGCACTCGGACAGCTTTCGATCCCTGTCTGGATCGTAGTTAGCCTAAGGGTCGGTGCGTCTGTGTTTCGACTTCATCTGTATTACAATGACAAGTCTGTTGTCTCACTCGCGGACTTGCCGGATTATACTTTAAGATCCGTCGCTGGTCTTAGAAACCAAATGAGAGGATGAGAAACCAGGAGAAGAAGGCTTCTTTGGCCGCTGCTGCTGCTGCTGCCGGAGCAACATTGACATAGGGTGACCTTGCTTGAAAGGATCGTGCTCAGTTGTCTGCACGAATCATCATCGCACAAAGGAATGAAAAACTTCAACTGTCAAACTAACGGTCCTGATGAACTGACCCACAGCTTGTTCATCAGTGCCAGAGCCTCGAGATAAGAGTCGCTTCTGAAACGTTGTCACCGGCTCCTCGGATGCGACTACCGAATTTTGTTGCCCGTCCGAAAGTGCCCCACCGGCCAGTCAACTAGCCAGCCAGCCCTACGGCCAGTCAGTTAGCCAGCCCTACGGCCATCCGTTCGGCCGTCCGTCGGTTCTTGTGTCTCACCCGACAACAGCCCGCCCGTATTGTCGCATCTCTGTGACCTTGGCCGATAATTTTCGTCTTGGATCATTGTTAGTGAGTTTCTTCTCAACTCCAGATGATTAGAAACGTCACGCATCGATTCGTGGACAACGGCAACAGCACATCCGTCGTGCAGAATAATTCTGTCGTTCAAGGAGTGATTCCCACTACTCCTGCTTTGCCTCTGGCCACTCGTATTGGCTCTTCAACGGATGACAGGTTCACCAACGGGTGCCGTACATGGAGCCGTCCATAGACTGAGCGGAATTATCGTCGATAATTCCCAGAGTCCGCTGAGGTTTCCGATTAGGTACACGACCCTCTCCACTGATGGCACGGCTATGACCCGACGCGACGGTTTTCACCGTGTCTTCTACGAATATTTGAATGGGGATCCTGCCTTCCATCCGAGCCATTTTGTCACGCCGTGTCGAGATTTCCCAATGAATTGAATTTTTCACTCTCACGTTTTTTCCGTCGAGCGTCGATGGGATCGCTAGCTAGCTCGTTCTATTTCTTCCTGATTTTGGATGAGAGCTTACCCAACGGCACCGTTGCTCAAATCATCGACTTCGAATTCCGTCATTCATCACTTCCGTCGAGGTCATTTGACGACAAACGGGATGGCTATCCTATTCCCAGAAGCTGGAGCTCTCGAGCTCCAGGACGAGTTTCGCAGCCGGAACGCCGCTTCCAACACCGGATTACAAGCTCAGCAGCGCTTACTTGGCCCGGTTTCTGACCGTTGGCTCAGGAGACATCCTGAGGAATTTCGAGCGAAGGTTGCTCTTCATTCGACCCCAGCACGAAGCGTGACGGCGGCGTCCAGCATCAGTGTTCAGTATTGATAAAGGCTCTGATGAGTGCTTTGTTGTTTCAATCAAACACATGATGGCTAAGTAGTAAGCGTGCGCGCGTGTCTGTGTGATTGTTCGCTTCCAATAATGTATTCTTACTGCTTCTTGCGGTACTTGCATCGGCAACGCTGGTTCCGTGCGGTTGGGCCGAGACAAGCCTCGCCAACCTTGACACAATTCGAGCTGCGCAGCCTGGCTCACGGCTGGTGCCAGCGACTGACAACAGCACCGACTGCGAGCGGCTGTGACTGTGGCACCAGCATCACCATCGCAGAATAAGGACCTAACTAAGACGACCAGTAGATAAAAACCGATCGAGCTTTTCTGGACGCACTCAGCTGATTCATGTCGAGCTCTCTGGCCAAGCTCTGCTCAAACGGAAAACCGAAAATGCTCCACAGAGTTCCACCCGCATTCCGTGGAGTTCTGATGGGGTTCTGGTAGCAAAAAAATGACGAGCGGAACCGCTTGCCTGAACATAGGCGCTCAAAGACTTCAGA